TGAATTTCAGATAAACAAGGATTAACTTTTAGTATAATCGTATCCCACAACACATTTGGGATATACTTATGCCTAAAAATGATTCATTGTTTGCTGGCCTTAGTAGCTCATGCCTACAATCCCAGTGATTTGGGAGTCTATGGTTGGAGGATTGCTTGAGTCCAGGAGTGTTCAAGGTTACAGTGAGCCATGATCATGCCATTGAGCTCCAGCTTGGGTGACACAGCAAGATCCTTATCTCTTAAAAAAATTGTTGACTGTTTATCTGAAATCCAGGTTTAACTGAGCATCCTGTATTTTATATGAGAACCCTATATGGGTGAGACCCAGAGTCCTGACGCCCACTGGTAAGCCTTTGCAGGGAGGCTCTGTGGGTCCTTGGCTGGCACTGATGCCCTGTGATGAGCAGGGCCATCTGGCGAGGTGGACGCCTGCTGCCCGTGCAGGCAGAGCAAGGCCCTGGGCAGGCATGAGCTGATCTCACCTTCCCCAACCTGGGAGCCAGATACTACTGGCAGCTTGCCATCAAGAGAGGGGCCGGTCACCAAGAGAAGGGCCGCCTCCATGGGCCTCCTTTGGCTTTCGGCCCTCCCCCTAACCTTCCTCCTACCCCAAACAGAGGCCCAGGGCACCACGCCAGAACCAGCGTGCTGCCTCCTCTGCTTGGCATTTTGTAGTTGGGTGGACTGTTTCCTTGTCACAGGAGCTGGCAGGTGCCCCTTCCACTTCACAGGGAGGATGGCTGGGACTCCTGACCTTGAGGCAGAGTGCTGTCTTTTTTTCTTTTTTTTTTTTTCTTTTTCTTGAGGCAGAGTCTTGCTCTTGTCACCCAGGTTGGAGTGCAGTGGCATGATCTTGGCTCACTGCAGCCTCCACCTCCTGGGTTCTAGCGATTCTTCTGCCTCAGCTTCCTGAGTAGCTGGGATTACAGGCGCATGCCACCACTGAGAACAGTGCCTTCTACAGGGTTTATTCTCCCGTAGAAGCAAGTTCCCAAGGCAAGGGGATTGCTCACCTCATGGATGAATACATTGACTTTAATCCACAGCCCCAGGTGTCAGCCTTGAGGGTGGGGAAAGGTTGTTCTATGTCCGGGGAGGGGTCAGGGCAAGGCCAGGAGGGCCTGGTGCCCAGTGTAACTCTTCAGGGTACAACTCCAGGTAGCAGAGGCCAAGGACAGAGGGGAGGAGAAGAGGGAGGTGGCCATTATCTCCTTATCTCAGCTTCCTCTGGAGATAAGCTTAACTATTTTAGCTATCCACTAAGTCTGGAGATAAGTCTGGAATTTAAACCTTTGACTTTGATCCAGCCCTTCACACCTCCTGTGAGCAAACTGAGCCTCAGAAAAAGGGAGTGAAGCCTGTGCATCCTGGACGCCCCCAACCCCGGCTCAAACGGCCCCCACCCCAGGCTGAAAGTGGGAAGGAACCACGGGGAAACAAACGGGGGAGGCAGGGGTGACCCGGATGAAAGTCTCCATGACCCACCTTTCCCCAGGGGCTATCTTGGGAGCTTTTAAAACTTTTATTGTTTTTTAATAGAGATGGGGTCTCACTGTGTTGGTCAGGCTGGTCTCCAACTCCTAGCCTCAAGCCATCCTCCCACCTCAGCCTCCCAAAGTGTTGAGGTTACAGGCATGAGCCACTGCACCTGGCCTCTCTCAGGAGTTTCAAGAAAAATATTGGGAATAGATTTTTTTTTTTGAGACAGAGTTTCACTCTGTCGCCCAGGCTGGAATGCAATGGCACGATCTCAGCTCACTGAGACCTCCACCTCCCGGGCTCAATTGCTTCTCCTGCCTCAGCTTCCTGAGTAGCTGGGATTACAAGCATGCAGGCTAATTTTGTATTTTCATTAGAGACTGGGTTTCACCATGTTGGTCAGGCTGGTCTTGAACTCCTGAACTCAAATGATTTGCCTACCTCGGCCTCTCAAAGTGCTAGGATTACAGGCGTGAGCCACCGTGCCCGGCCAGGAATAGATTATTTTCCGTAGATGACTTCTGTCATTATTGCAAATGGATGTTTATGCACAAGTGAGTTTTCATAATGTCTCATGCTGAAAAGCTCCTTTTTGAGGGAATGGTGACTTTTGATAGAGGAGAGACTGTCCAGGCTTCATTCATTGTCAGCACAAGGGCAGAGCAGGGGTGTGGCGGTGTCACCCTCCTCGGAGACAGCCCCATCCCTGCTCTGCCCAGGGGTTCAGAAGTCTGGTCTATTCGAGCCCCCAGAGGGGTTTGGAGTGGCTGTCTCACATCACAGGTGGGGTCTGTAAGGATCTGAAATGGCCTTTGAGAAGGCCGGTGTGGTTGGTGCATTCCAATCATTAAAGTAACAACAATGATACGTCAAATAGGGTCTGCTCAGATTCTGAGTGCCCGTTTCCACCTTGTGACTTACCAGATTCCACCTTGTGACTTACCAGATTCTAGCATAAAAACCCAGGTAAAAGAAAAAATAGCTGGGTGTGGTGGTTCGTGCCTGTAATCTCAGCGTGAGGCCAAGGCAGGAGGATTGAGACCAGGAGTTTGAGACCAGCTTGGGCCACCTGAGACCCCACCTCTGAAAATAAACAAACAAATAAAAGACCTTTATGCTGTACGTATTTCTTATATCTAGGTTCCCCAAATTATGTGCATTGGGGAAAGTCCATTAAGAGAAGCCCCTGGCTGGGTGTGGTGGCTCACGCCTGTAATCCCAGCACTTTGGGAGGCCAAGGTGGGAGGATCACAAGGTCAGGAGTTCGAGACCAGCCTGGCCAACGTGGTGAAACCCCATCTCTACTAAAAATACAAAAATTAGCCAGGCTTGGTGGTGCATGCCTGTAATCCCAGCTACTCGGGAGGCTGAGGCAGGAGAATCACTTGAACCTGGGAGGCGGAGGTTGCAGTGAGCCAGGTTGATGCCATTGCACTCCAGCCTGGGCGACAAAACGAGACTCCATCTCTAAATAAATAAATAAATAAATAAAGGGAGAGAAGCCTCTGGGCTCCTAGATATGTGGACCAGACCCCACCCCTGCAAAGCTGCTATGCCCAAAGGGGGTTGTACTTGGTGGAGTTGGGGCAAAAGAGCAGGGAGGGCACCGGGCAGTTGATCTGGTCTCCACTGCTGGAAAGGGGCTGTGCTGTTGGTGCCCTGAGCTGGTTCCACGAGGAAGACGCTGCATGCTGCATGGGGCGCCCTAAGTTTGCTCGTCCTGTCTAGGCTCACCCTTTCCTCTCCAGGACCAGGGAACCCGCTCGTCTCCTGTCTTCAGCACCTTCTCTCTGACTTGTGAGCGCTGCATTTCTTTCTGCTTGGAACGCTGGCCCGTGTTAGATCCCCGGGCTCCTGCCTTCTGCTGTCTTTTGCCATACTTCGTCAAAGTGTGTTTTATTTATTTATTTAATTTCTTTATTATTATTATTTTTTGAGACAGAGTCTCGCTCTGTCACCCAGGCTGGAGTGCAATGGTGTGATCTCGGCTCACTGCAACCCATTTTACAAGCTCAATCCATGAATGCTCTAGCCTTCCAAATGAGTAGCTGAGACTCGCAGTACAGTAGGCGCAGCCTACTTCGACACTGCAAATTAAGGGTATTGCAACAGACACAAGAAAACGCGCACATCACATATTCGTATAGCTCTTTAGACGGATATCACACCATGGTGCCCAGGACAGTCCTCCGATCCCTGACCATCAGATGATTGTCCATGGAAATGGATCCAACACATTCGCGGCACAAAATCCAACAAATTCAATTTCCATCACAAATAATTCATCCATAAAATAGTAGGCATAGGGAAAACTAAAATACAATGCGGTCCCCAACACAGCAGCACAAACACAGAAAGGACCAAATAATCTGAACATACCTACATTTTATTTATTTTTTGAGAACAGAGTCTCCGCTCTGTCAGCCCAGGCTGAGTGCAATGTATTGCTCGGCTCACTGCAACTCCCCTCCCGGGTTCAAATGAGTCTCCTGTCTCACCTCCCGAGTAGCTGGGATTACAGACACCCGCCACCATGCCGGCTAATTTGTATTTTTAGTAGAGATGGGGTTTCACCATGTTGGCCAGGCGGTCAAACTTCTGACCTCAGGTGATCGGCCCACATTGACCCTCGCCAAATTGCTGGGATTACAGGCGAGAGTCACCATGCCCGGCCAACTATTGTAATATTGATATAATAATAATATCACAGCCCAGGTGCAGTGGTTCACGCCCTGTAATCCAACACTTTGGGAGCTGAGGCAGGCGATCACCTGAGGTCAGTTTGGAGACCAGCCTGGCCAACATGGGTGAAACCCTGTCACTGAAAATCACAAAAATTAGCCGGGGCGTGGTGGCGGGTACTGTAATCAGCTACTTGGGAGGCCGAGGCAGGAGAATCACTTGAACCTGGGAGGCGGAGGTTTGTGGTGAACTGAGATCGTGCCACTGCAGTCCAACCTGGGTGACAGAGCAAGACTCCATCTCAAAGTACTACTGCTATATATAATATCACTTACTGATTTTAATTTTGTGCAGGCACGTCCTAAGTACTTGCACTATGTGACCTGCATTTC